ATAAGATTTGGAAAAACATCACCCGGAATGAAAAATAATGAATGAAAGGTGAAAACTCAATTTCTTATTTAGATTTCCTCAATCCGGACTTTAAATTTTCAATCTCTTGCGATAATTCATTTGAATCTTGTGCTAGCCTTCTTCTTTTTGGTGAAATTTAGGATTTGATATACTCTGAGTCGTTCACGCCGTTCACCTCCTCTAGAAAGTAGGTTAAATTTGGTTTTTAAAGGAATTTGGACAAAATAGGGAATTTGGGCCGTTCAGCCCAGAAAAAGCCCATGCGCACGCATAGTGTAATTCCTTGCCCGCGCGCCGTTCAATTGGTCTGCTCTCGGTAGATAAAAACTAAGCCCGTGCCCGCGCACATGTATAAAATCTTCTAATCGTTGCACTTTGGTCCTCGAATTTTATTCATTATTTATTTTGGTTCCTTCTTTTTATTTTCTCGAGCTTCCATCTTCCAACTTCGTCTAATTGACTCAAACATCTCTCCAATCATCGATGCCGGCCCTAACCATCTATTATCATTTTGCGATTTAGTCCTCACGCTTTGGATTAAGTCAACTTTAGCCAATTTCCTGCCTCTTTTCTTCAATTCCATGATTTTTCATCGAAATACACATAACAAAGAAAATATATACAAAAATAAGCCTCCATTTATTTAAAATAATAATAATTACTCTAATTTAACGATATGGATAAGTGTATAAAATACACTTATCAATGATTAATATAGAAATACTTACAAATTTGAAGCATTTCATCTTTCGAACATGATCATCTAAATCTTGAAACGTAGTACTCATTTGCACTCAATTTCAATATCAAAACTTGTGATCATTAACTCACATTGTTCAACAGTCTAACATTAAATCGGGGAATCGACACTTGAATTTAGTGTTGACTTTGATCAACAAAATGTACACCGATTCTTTAAAAATACATTCAAACTTGAAGAAAAATGGATTGTTGTTGAACAATAACCACTTCTATCACTTTTTTTTTTTTTTTTATCACTTTTGTGTCTTTTTAAATTTAGAGAAATTTTGACGTTATAGCATAATGAAAATAAAATGAGAAGGTGGAGAGGGCGTTGGCCAATTACTATTAGGGTCCTTTTAAAGGCTGATGGTGATTAATTTTTATCATAAGAGAAGGCTAGACGAAATGTCCTCTTATAAATTTGCAGTTTTTGTTCCCAACTTTTGTAATTTGTTACTAACAAACACCAAATTTTTTTTTTTTTTTTTTTTTAACCACCATTTTCCAAGTTTGATGCTTGAATTTGGGTCCAAAGTAGTTCCACTAATTTTTGAAATGNTTGGGTCTTTTTTTTTTTTTTTAAATCACATAATTAATCTTATCATTTTCTCTCTCTATTGCGAATCTCTCATCTCTCCCTCCAAGACATCGTGGAATAGAGCTGACTCCCTCGTCTCTTCCTTCCAAACCAACTCTAGTCACCCGTCACCACTATCCCTCGCCCCCCAAACAGTCATCATTACTAAAAATTACACGGTTGAATTTTATGATACAGTCGATAATGATTACTTATCAACTAAAATTACCATCAACTCAAAGTTTCAAACGCTCACCAACTAATAGCTTAAATTATGCTTCCATGATCATTGCACCTTTTGCATTAATTCATAATCATGTTTATAAAAACTAGACTGGACAACCTACACATGCTATTAGTAGCTGTTAATTGGAGTTTTACATCAAACATAACAATTCTTCTAATCCTGTTTTTTTGTCAATTACTAAGCTGATTTTTGTCCCATTTATTTCCCAAATATTGTATTGGATTAATTTAATCCATGGGAAAACATACTTGCCTTCTTACAACCTTTGACTGAAAACTGTACAAAAATACATTTGACTTTTGTCATCATTATCTTATAAAAATTATTTTTCAAGACCAGAATCTAAAGAAAAACATTATACATGCTGCTGCAGTGATTCTCTGAGCAAATTTGTCCAATTTGTTTAATTTTTCATTGGATTCCCCCAAAAAACTATTAAACAATTTTATAAAAAGGACCCACTCAATAAAGCAATCATGTGCTGTAAAGAAGTAATATGAAGACACAAAATATGAAGCAATCATGTGCTATAAATAAACCGAAATTTTGATTTATAAAGTATTTTTTTGATTCAAAGTTGCAGAAAAAGATAATTAAAAAGTGGGGTAAAAGCAAATCGAATTGTTTAGGAGCATATTCTAGTAATGAGTAAAAAAAGTTATATTTTTCTACAAAGTTTTAATGATATTATAGTTATCTTACTTTCCTCAATCACGATATTTATCAATTTACACTTTTTGGTTTCGGTTTACACTACCTATCTGACCCATTTTTGTGTAGAATACATTTTGAAATAGTAGATAGGTAAAGAATTTGTGGTAAAAAATGAACGAAGAATTTTTTGGATTTTGTGTAATATTATGTTACTGAATAATGTGTAGTTGAAAAGAAGAAAGAAAAATGTATTAAAAAAAAAAAGAGGTCAAACAAGGTTGTGTCTACGTGTTCATAAGATCAAATTGTTAGGGTCCGTTTGATAGCATGGAGTACCATGAAAAATGTCACATTCGAGGAAAGCTAATTTTAATTTAACCGATTGATCGTAACGTGAAAATGGAAATCGAATTTCAAGGTACAACCACTTTAAACTTTATTTTCTTTATTTTTATGGAAAACGAATTCCTATGAGTTTGGTGGACTTTTATTTTCCAACTAATATGAAATTTGAATTTATTTTCACCTTTACCTATCAAACAGACCCTTATTATAAAAACAATTGATTACTTGAGTACCTATTTGAGCGTCATTTTTTTAAAGAGAATAAATTGTTAAATATAGGGAAAAATTTTTATTTAAGTATAAAATTATGTGATCGAGAGAATGTGAAACTAAAAATAAGTTTAAACAAAAATGAATTTTGAATAATGAGGTCAAATAAGGGCTAAGCCCATGTTTAACACACATTCTTTTAAATTACATTCTTCCAAAACTCATTTTCAACCACACATTATTTAATAAAATAATATTTTTCATTGCATCAATAACTTTTCATTACTTTTTAAGTACGTATTTCTCATCATATTACTATTTAAAATACATTATTTTCTCAATAATATCCACCAAATACACCCTAAATCCGGCACATGTCACAGTTGGAAGAATAATGAATAATAACTAATCGCTAGAAAATGAAAATGAAACTGAAAAACATAATTAAATTTTTAACTAGTCTTATCAATGACCCTATATGTGGTGCCCATTATTTTTAAAAAATAAAGGAGTTTTGAATAGTATTTTAAGATAATGTGTAGTTAATAAAAAGTAATGAAAAAAATTTGAATTTATGTATTGAATATTTTATTGTGTGAAAAAAAATAGGAGTCAAGGCAAAGTTTTTGTAATTAATTGGAAAGCAAGGGGCAATATGGTAATTAAGAAGGTAAATAGTACAAACTTCAGGGGTGAAACAGGGAGATCCATAGAAAGTTGTGAAAAAGTGGACCCTCCCAAAACGACAAGGACAGCAGTGAGTGCGCACAAACACCGATCCACTTTCGAAGTCCAACTTTTACCCTGGTTTTCAAAGAAGACCATACCCCAACTAAAAAAAAAAGGGGAAAACGGGAAAATTTGCTTTATCTGGTCCTAACCTTTTACTCGACTAGTATGTTGGTCTTCAATATTCAGAAATACAAGAATTTTTTTTATTAGTCAATTTCTTTTCCATCAAAATGAGATTTGCCTCCCATCAAAAGTTTTGTTACTTAGCGCGCCTTGTGATGGGAGATTTTATGAAAAACAACATATCTTGAGTTGTATGTGAATGCTGTTAGCAATTAAAATTTGTTAGAAAAAAAATCTTACCACATTGTGGTGCATATTTACCACAAAAACAATCGAAATGCAGCTATTGTCCATGATCAAAAAATTGAAAAAATCACACAACACCAATTGAGGGAAGACCAATTCTATCTGTGAGGGAAGGGTAAATAATGAATGACAATTAAAAGAAAATTGAGTAATGAGTAATGACATAAGTTCCGTCACGAGTGACCGATTAAGTAAATTATTTATTTACAATTTGACTTCTCAAAATCTGAACACGGTTTATAATATGCAATTATAGCAGCATTAAATAGATGCATATAATTATTTATTTATGAAAATAAACAGGAGTATGCTTTTAATAAAATGGCATATAGATACTTTAGACAAAGTTGACGAAAATGACTAGATTGTCTAAATGGACTACGAATTCTCATTAACTATGTCTAGATTGATAATAATGGCTAGATTATTCGAAATTCATTGTGAAAATTTCTTCAATAAAACTGATAATTGATAACCTTAGATTACAATTACACAATCACTTCTATCATATCGAAGCTTACATGTCCAATTGAAGCTATATTTTATTTTTCAACTCGAGTTATGACTAAAAATTTTAAGCGAGGAGGAACACAAAAAAAGTCTCTGTAATTGAGGACTTATGTTGTGAATATAGCAAAAAGGTGAAGACTAATTTGATATGTTTTAAATGTTGGAGAAACACTTACTACTTGAACAATAGTTTGAGGACCGGCTCTGCCATTTTTCAAAGAAAATAATGTGAAATTTGGAATAAAATCAGATACCAGCAATTGCATTTGTATTTTCGAAGGAAAGAGAGACAGTGCTCAATCACTGCCAAAAATACTAAAGAAGAGGTGCGCAGGATAAGCAGAGGGTGGTGTTCTGGAATCTAAGCCCGGGGTGCATAGTGGTAGCTTTTTCTCGTGGTCGTGGTGAAGAGCGTTGTTCTGGAATCTTGAGCAGAGGCGTAGGATTAGCAGAAATTGTAACCTTTTGCTATAAGCTACGATTGAGTTCTCGGTGTAGTGGGTGTGGGTACAAGCAAAAAGCTTGCTTTTTTTTTTTTTTTGTGAGTGGCATTTTGGCTTCATTTTTCTTTAAGGTGTGGGGGAGATAAATATGGGTGTTGCGCAGTTTAGTAGTGGCCATCGGAAGGAAGTTCCGGTGAGACTGGCAATCTTCTCGGTATGCTTCTGGATTTTGGTCTCACTATCTTGCGCCAAAATGCCGTCTGCTTCTAGGCAGAAGCTTGAAGTTCAGAAACACTTGAACAGACTCAATAAACGTCCAGTCAAAACCATTCAGGTTAACCCCTCTCTGTGCATATTTTCTTTGAAACGTGAACTTACATTCTCGTATAGTTGTATGCGATATGGATTTTTTTATTTTTTCGATTTATTCTTATTTTTTGCCTGTGATTATGTGTATATCATGTTGAGAACACAAAGACTGTTTTTTGGGTATTTGAGTAGCAATACAAGATTGAACCAGTCACTGGATTGTATGGGAATAGTTTCGGTTCCTGGGCTTTTCTTTTCTTTTATCTGCTATCCTATTTTTTGATTATTTTTTAATCTTTCTCTTCCCACCCCCACCGGCCACCCCCCTCTTTTTATTTTTCTTGTATTTTTTTTGGGTATGTTTACTTGCAAGAAATTCTGCCTATGTTAATTAATTCTGAAAGAAGAGATTTTCTTTGTTAATTGATGTAATGGAACAGAGTCCAGATGGAGATATAATTGACTGTGTCCACATTTCGCATCAGCCTGCTTTTGATCACCCTTTTCTCAGAGACCACAAAATCCAGGTCTGTTTCTATTCTTAGTTTTGGTACTTAATTTATTTTATTCCATCAATCTAATTTTGTGTATGGGTTGTCTCATGGTTGTTTAGATGCGGCCTAGCTATCATCCCGAAGGCATTTTTAATGAGAACAAGATGTCAACCGGGCCTAATGAACGAACGAACTCAATCACTCAGCTATGGCATACGAACGGGAAGTGCCCCGAGGATACCATACCCATAAGGAGAACAAAGAAAGAAGATGTCTTGAGAGCAAGCTCCGTGAAAAGGTACGGGAAGAAGAAGCACAGAACTATCCCCAAACCCAGGTCCGCAGATCCCGACCTCACCAACGAGAGTGGTCATCAGGTAAATGGATCAGGATAAAAACGGACTCTTTATCAAAAAAAGTCGATTAATCAATCTTTTCATACACGGATGAGAAATTTGGGAATGTAAGGTATTTTGGAAATCAGACTGATACTCTATTTGGTCATAAGGATTTGAAATAATTGGTCTTTCTTTAAGTTGTTGAATATCTCACTTATTGATCAATGAGTGATTTTCCAACTCCTAGTTACTGTTGGAATCCATACAAGATCTCAATTGATCAGGAGACTCTTTCAGTTGGCTAAAATCAGTGAATTGACTGAAACTAGATCTTCATTCTTTATTTGTATTTTCCTTGCTTTTCTATTTACATAATCAGGTGAATATCTTTTCTTAATTTTATGGTCTTACCAGCACGCAATAGCATACGTCGAAGGAGACAAGTACTATGGTGCAAAAGCAACTATTAATGTATGGGAACCTAAAATACAGCAGCCTAATGAGTTCAGTTTGTCCCAAATTTGGTTACTGGGAGGTTCATTCGGTGAAGATCTCAATAGCATTGAAGCTGGTTGGCAGGTATATTTTCTCTAAATTATTGGTCAACCTTCAAATTTGTTGCATTCCTATTACTGATTAGAATGCACATTACTTCAGGTTAGCCCTGATCTCTATGGTGATAACAACACAAGATTGTTCACATACTGGACTGTAAGCTTATACTTTTGCTGTTTGTTTTCTTTATATCCTAATAAATCTCCAGGGAAAATCCTAATATCAGTTTGTAATTATAGAGTGATGCATATCAAGCCACCGGTTGCTATAATCTACTTTGCTCGGGTTTCATTCAAGTCAGCAGTCAAATAGCAATGGGTGCAAGCATCTCTCCAGTTTCTTCCTATCGAAATTCCCAATACGATATCAGCATTCTTGTCTGGAAGGTAAATTCCAAATTCGCCCCGCTCTTCCTTCCTCGTGTGATGCGTTTTGTGATGAAACGGAGAATCGGTATAACTATCATTTTGTAACTTACTTTTAATTTATCCTAGGACCCAAAAGAGGGAAATTGGTGGATGCAGTTTGGCAATGGCTATGTATTGGGTTATTGGCCATCTTTCTTATTCTCCTACTTAACAGAGAGTGCTTCCATGATAGAATGGGGTGGTGAGGTCGTAAATTCACAACCCGACGGGCAGCACACTTCGACTCAAATGGGCAGCGGTCGATTCCCAGAAGAGGCTTTTAGCAAGTCAAGCTATTTCAAGAATATCCAAGTTGTTGACAGTTCCAACAATCTTAAGGCTCCTAAAGAACTTGGCACATTCACTGAACAATCCAACTGCTATGATATCCAAACAGGTAGTAATGGAGATTGGGGCCATTACTTTTATTATGGAGGCCCTGGCAGAAACCCTAATTGCCCATGAAGTCAAAAAGGTAAAATAGTAAAGGATCCCTTTTAGGTTAAGGCCACTGTATCAATCATCAATATGTATAATGTACGCCCTTTTTTTCTCTCCTTTATTTTTTCCATGCAAGTGAATGGGAAAGTGGCCAAGTTGATTTTCTTGAAAAACCAAATGCCCGTGTCATTTTCTTTGTTCTCTCTCTCTCTTCCATTCTTGTAGTGTTTTCTTGTTCTACTCAAATGGTTTGTTTTGGTGCAAAAGTCCAACTTTGTCAAAGTGGATATGCAGTGCATGTGGGTAGGTGAAGAGTATTATTTTCAATACAATTTTTCTTGTTCTTGTAGTGTTTTCTTGCAGTGCATGTGGGTAGGTGAAGAGTATTATTCTTGTAGTGTTTTCTTATTCTACTCAAATTGCACTATTTTTCTTTAAATATACATACAATTTGAATACTTGATGCAACACCACCTTTTTGTAAAGAAGTCACATGGGCAGCCGCAGCTGTCACCACCATCACCACGACCACCACCATCGCCTCCTGCGGAAGTGAAAATAACGGGGAATCCAACTTTTTCTATTATAAAATAATTTCATTATTCGTTATTATTCGTGTACAAAAGTAGTGGGGGCTTTCCTCCAAAAGGGTAATATAAAGTTGATTCCATCTCTGCTGGCTAATATAAAATTTGCTAATATAACCACATGGCTAGATGTGGCAATATGCTCAAATAATTGGCATGGCTGACTATAATCTTAAAAAGTTTGCTTATAAGGAAATAGATACTTTATATTTATTTTGCTTGAGTAACAAAAATGTTTATTATTTTAAATATTAAGCACGGCGACTAATGATGCATTTTATAATTTTAATTGGTCGTTTTGTCGCACTTTTAATATAGTTTCGCTATATTGACTGGTTCTCGTCTGAACAAAACTCTAGCATTGTGCAAACTTTGTCGGTTTAATAATGTCTAGTACTGTACAGTAAATTCTTTCGAGTGTGTTTGGGACACATTCTTGTGAAATAATGTATCATTGAATAGTAGATTGATGGAGAATGTGTGGTTAAAAATGAAGGAAAAATTCTTAATAAAGTGTAAAATATTATTTTATTGAAGAATGTGTGGTTGAAAATGAGTAGAATAATGAGAATGAAAAAAATAGTTAAAAATGAAGGAAAAGTTATTGATGTGATTGAAAATATTATTTTATTAAAGAATATGTAGTTGAAAATGAGTAGAAGAATGAGAATGAAAAAAATAATGTGCACCAAACAGGGCCTAAATAAATAATCCATCATCAGAATAGTATTTCCAGTAATTGTTTGGTGCTTTATATGAGTAAATTGGACCGAAATACTTCCAAGTAGCAAGGTTTTCTTTTGGGTTCCAAGCCCATAAACTTTTCTCTTACTTTCAAAGTTAGTTATATGGTAATTGATACAAATAGCACTTGAAACGATGTTTTTGTACGAGTTTAACTTTCACGTCAGTTGAAACAAAATATTTTTAGGCTTTATCAATTTTCGTTTTGAATATTTGATTCACTAGACTCGGTGAGGATTGAATTTTAATAGGCATCATGCTTGAAGATGTGAAAATAAAGTTAAAATTTTCATTTATTCCAAAAATCAATTATTTATTATTTGAATTACCATGGTATTGCATATGAAGAAATTTGATGCATGTTATGTACATGCTTAGTAAGAATGTAGCATCGACTGCCCCTTCTATAAAATTCATTTTTGATAGCACGTTCTCGCAATAAAGTAATTTTGCACGTCAAAAAATTTCCTTCCTTTTAACAACACATTTTTCGAAAAAATCACTTTTTACAAAATTCAAGCATGTAGCGTCAACTGCCCCTTTCATAAAATTCATTTTTAATGACACGTTCTCACAGTAAAATAACTTTGCGAGTCAAAAAATTTCCTTCCTTTACATCGCATATTATTCGAAAAATCACTTTTTACAAAATTTATTTAAAAAAATGGGGTTCAAACAAGGACATATGATAAGCCGCTAGAACAAAGTGAACAAGAGAAAAAACTTTTCTCGAAAAAAAAATGATGAATGGGAAGACACAAAGAGATTCTTATCCAAATTAAAAGATTCTTCGGAGTTGAATGAATGACAATCGCGAGTTTCGCTGCCATCGAAGAACTAATAATGGACTCAATCTTCGAATATTCTGGCCGAGCTTCTTGCATTCATTAACAATGGTACTATTTAGAGATATATTGGGTATTAGACTCAAGAAATCGGGCTTCGACCGGTCGGAGAGCATGGACATGAAACATAAAACTTTGGCCAGATGGAGCCATTAAAGACGGTATCCAACATTAACGAGTTAAAAGTGGGTTATTCGCCATTTTCACCCAATTTTTTCAATCTGGTTTGTGATCAAAATAGTTATAAAGAGAACATAATGGGATTTCTAAGGAGATTTATTTGCAGAAGTTAAAAGCCCACGTGTCTGTTTGCTGACGTGTATATATTAGGGGGATGTGTAAATTTATTTATTAGCCAAACGATTAAGGGGACAACAAATTTGGGATAACGTAACTGAACTCATAGCACACCACGTTCACGGGGTGCCTTTCTTCTGGCACAGAAAGGGACACCGTGCGGCAGTATTTTGCTCCGCTAGACTATCTTCCGCCTTCTCTCAATTGTTTCGGGACGAAAGACAATTTGATTACAATTTGTAGAAAGCTTGCAACATGAAATTGAAATGCATTAAAAGTAAATTGATTATTGATTGCTTGAAAGCTAAAAGTTACAATTGATGAAAGTAGAAAATTACTATGAATAGTGTAGAGGGCGAACACTAGAAAGTTTGAAAGATTAATACCCCCTATAATAGTATTTTGAACAAAAACCTAAGTGATGAGAGTATACGTTTAAATGCCGAGAAATCATACTAAACGTTTTCCAATATCACGGCTATTTTACAATTGAAATAAAATATTTACAATGTGCGGTGGAAATTAGGCAAATTGCGGCTGCAATTGGGCTAAGAGGCTAGTTGAAGTTGCGATCCTTGACACCACGACTAGTAAAATTTTTAGAATAACTAAATTGCCCTCTCCATTCAAACAAAAAGTTGGTGCATTTGGTTCTTTATTAAATTATTTTCAAGCTATTTTTAGTTTTCAGCTTAGCAAAACACTGAAATGTATTTGATTTGATATTTTAAAAATTCATTTTCATTTTTCAAAAACAAAGTTAAACTCATAACATAAATCTCAAAACACATTTAACGTTTTTAGCGTGAAAATTTTGAAAATGTTCAAAATATGGAAACACGAGCATTTAAATAAAATTTTAAAAATTATAAGTCTATGAAAATAAAATTATAAAATTCTAACAAATAAATTTAAAAACTTAAAAAAATTTAGAAAAACTAAAATTCTTAAAAATACAATTATGAAATTTTTTTAGAAAAATAAAAATTCTAAAAGATAAAAATAGTTCAAGCTCTTAACGATTAATTATATAAAGATTATGAAAAATGTTTAAATGAACATAAATAAAAATATTATCAGTTCATGTCATTAATTTTTATTTTTTATATTTTGAACTCAATTTATTATTTATTTTTATTTTACTTTTGTAGTGATAAAAAAACATTGTAAGATTTATCATATTTAAAATGTATATATTACTTGATAATAGTAACATAAATTTATTTTATTTTTATTGAATAATCAAATTTAATGAAATCAAATGTTATAAAAAAAATCTAAATTTTAAATTAAACACGTTTTTTAGTTTTCTGTTTTGAGATATAAATTTTCAAAATGACAAATCAAACGCATTTTTAACAATTTTAAAATGGATGCTTAATGCTGAAAACTAAAAATTGGAACTAAAAACTCAATACTAAAAATTGAAATACAAACCAAACATGCATTTATTTTCTTCATTTTTGCTACTTGTACATTAATTCTGGCATTGTTGTCAGGTGACAGGTTTATGCATTAATTTTAATAATGCTTTAAACAATAAATGCACGAGTTTTGACGTCTTAAAATGTCAAACATAATGTACACAAAGAGTGTACAAATAATATAATTCAAATTTTTTTATGAAAAATCTTGAAATTCTAAACTTGTATTTTCCTTTCTCCACTCTCTCTTTTTATATAGAATTTATTTATATATTTAGTGGTTGTTTGATTTTAACTTTTTCAAAATCACATTTTTTCTTGAATTCATTTTTCAACTACATTTTTTCTCAATAAAATCATTGTATGCTTACATCTATTATATTTTTCTACTTTTTAGTCATGTATTTTCAAAAATCATTTTTGGGAAGATTAGGCCTAATGCTCTAAAAATTGATTCAATTAGATTAATACCCTAAATTAATTAAACATCACATAAATCCCCGTATTAATTACACTCCAAACTAAAACAAATTCTCAAAACTCCAAAATCTCTCAGCCCACTGAATACAGAGACCACAAACACAGTTGTGCACCACC